TCCTTGCTCTTCTGTCTGAAATCTTGCACAGTATACAAAAACTCAGGGAAAATTTGGCTTTTATTAAAATCTTTTGTGTTGTGCCTACAAAATCAAAACAGAGTAGTATAACTGTCTTAAGATAAGTACAGAACAGAAAAGAAAATAGGCAGCAAAAATGGATGAAAAGCAAACGTGGGCTTGTGGAAAATTGTTCTTTATGACTCTTGCCAGACAGTTTGTGTTTCCCCCTCCCCTGGCTGTTTCTGAAGGCTGAGCTGATCAGTCCAGATAGATGAAATGAAATGTACCATGATGCTGACGTCTTTCAGTCTGACCATTGATGTGTGCAGGATGTGTGCTCTAAAAAATAGAGCCATCTGCAATTAGAATTCAGATTTGAGAAGGGGATAGCTTTAGTCAACTCATTATTTTAATTGTGATTTAAATCAGGAGAGAAAAGAAATCTTGATCTGATAACTGGTTTTAATATTGTTTTACATTTGTTTTCGGAAAAAGTCTTTGTCAGTGATAGCTGACAGCTGCATTTGCATGCAGTGTCAGGACTTCTGGTAGTTGCAAGTATACATGCATGCTTTGGTGGTTATGGAGCTTACTCAGATTTTGAAATTTTACCTTTTGTTGTGCTGACAATGGTGAATTTCCTTTTTCTGTACGCTTAGTTCCCAGATAATTTAAATAAAAATGCAGAAAATTGAGTTTTAATATCTACACATTGTTTAGACAGTTCTAGTTTAGTACTGTTAAATGGGTTTTTGCATATATATACATACGCCTGTGTGAACTTGTTTTCTTTAACACAAGTGATGGTGTGATGGATTGTTTTCTTAACACAAGTTTAATGGTATGATGGATTTAAAATTCAGCAATAAGGTAGTTTTTGCAATTGGCAAATCTAATGTTGGATTTTACTAGTGGATGAAAGAGTTCTAAAAACTAAAACCAGAGTAGTGCTGATCCAACATGGCTCTATTTTATAATTGAGTTATTTTCCATTGATTAAAAAGGAAGGACAGATCTTCCTAGCCTCTCCTCCCAGCAGGCTTCTCAGTGAGTGAAACACTTTTTTAGCTGAGCTGAAGAAAATTCTCTTTGTGCATCTGCAGATGTCAAAAGCTGTTTTATCATTGATGCTATGTTCTTTTTCCAGGTGATGAGCAAATCATCTGGCATTAGCAGTGAGCTTGTGTTGGTTGAATGCTTTTAATTGAATTATTCTCTTAGACTTTGAGTAGGACACAAGTCTCTTTCTAAATGGAAGCTAATTTAAATTTTTAACCTTTTTTTAATGATAATTCAAGTTAAAAAATGGGTTTTTTTCTGTTGTTGTTTTGTTTTTATAAAATCAGTCTGTATTTCCCTGTGGTGTCAAATCACAGTCACAGCTTGATGCTGTGTTGTAGTTTTTATTCTGTGGCAGTGAATTATGCTGGCATAACATGCATTCATTATATTAACATTCACCTTCCCTTTCCCACAGCTGTTCATAGTAATATCAGAAGGTTTTGCACCGTGGTTCCTTTGTTCCTTCACCACAGAATACGAATTAGCAGATTTTATTATGCTGGTAGTTGTTTTGTGTAGGCTGAACATTGTGTCACCCTTAGACTTAATTCCAGCTTTGAGTATAGCTAAATTTCCAACATGATGTTCAAATGCCCTGTTGCAGTACTGACCTTTTGGTCCCATCAGAGTCTGAGCCCTGGTGAAAGAGTGCCGAGATAGTTTGAGTTACTGGGTTGGCATTTAAGCATTGCAAAAAAGTAATAAGAGAAATTAATGGCAGACTTTCTGTAGTGATTGGAATCAGTTTTCTGGTGTGACTGAGATTCTGCTCCTTTGGGAATTCAATAACCATTCCTTAATGCTAATGAAGCACACTTGTTAAGTCTGTTTTCCCTGGCGATCAGGGTTTAATTCTCCCAACACTTCAGTTCATTTCTTTGTCTTTTAATGTGGTGATTGACCCTCATTGAAATTGGGAGACTCAGGTGGATGGCTGTGTCCCCATGGAATTCTGGTGTTCGTGGTCTCGGGTGGGTAATGGTTAGTCTCTCTCCTGCAACCTCTTAGGATCCTAGAGAAAAGATGATGATGATGTGAGGAAAGGATTGTGCTTGATTTGATGTAGGCTAATGAACCTTTCTCGTGCAGCTGCACATTTTTTCTCCATTACACCTAGTAGAGGATTGAAAAAGTAATTTTCTAGGCTTTCAGCTTTCTGAGGCCACTAGCATCACTTCTGATGTGGGAATGTGCTTTTCACCAGCCAACTTTTATTATCCCATCTCTGGCAGGGATCCTCAGTTAAAGTTGCCAGTTTTGTTTTTTTTTTTCCCCTTGTTTTATGGTTTATCTTCCAGGGCTTTGGATATTCTCCTCCTTCTCTCTTTCTCTCCCACTTGCAGCTAAAAAACAGAGGGAGTGAGAGAGTTATGAAGGGGCTGGAAATGTTCAAAATCCTAGGCTTAAGATAGTGAAACCCTGGTGCTTAGTTATTTCTGACTGCTGACCTATTGTGGAGCTGGCAGGTTGCAGTGTGTTGAAGCTGAAATGCTTTTCTTTCCTGTGTGCCTTTTGCTGCTAAGACTTTCCTCTGTGTGGGCAGGAGGTTTTCATTGCAAGAGGTATAACATGAGCAGAACTGGATGAAAGGATAGCTTCTGCTTCGAGAGCTGGGGGAACAGTTCCCTCTTTGGAAGAGCCAGGCAGGGACAGCTGCCTCTAAAGGTTCCCAGAATATCAGGCCTCCTCTCTCTGCTTTAGAAGGTACAGTATAAGAGAAACTAATGTGGCTGTTCCTTGGTTTGAGAGGGATGCTGCAGTTCTTTCTGGCAGTAGGGTGTTAAAACCCTACTGGATAGGTTAAAGTGTCAGAGTATGTTTGTGAAGAGTTTGTTTGCAACAGTGGAACAACTTCACTGGCAGCTGAGACCACTGGTTTGGTGGGTTTTTCTTACTGTTTTTAAGGTAAAGAAAATAGGCAAATAATACCATAAATATGCATTTTTCTCTGTACAATTTCTGCAAAAGCTAAATAGAATAATGTCTAAAATGGACGCGGTATATGAGTGATATTGCAGGCTGTTGAAACATTTTTCTCTGATAAACAAATCCGTTTAGGGAATTTTTTTTTGTGTTGTTGCCATAGCGTCTGAATAGTTCCAAAATATTTGAATGGAGGAGAGACTACCTTTTCCTTCCTCTGTAGCCTACAGGAGGAACAGCTTGATTAGTCTGTAGGGATGCATGCTTGGCGCAAGTCATGTAAACATTAAATTGCATTGAAATGAACACCCATGAACACCCCAACCATGTTCATGCTTTTTCTAAGAGTGAATCCACTGCATTCTGTACCACTCAACCTTCTTCCATAGACCAATTCTAGACTATATACTGAGCACAGACAGAAAGAGTGTGGAGAGTTGCAACAGGAATTTCTCTGTATGCCCAGAAAACACAGAGGTTTATCCCACCTAGAGTTTTGAAAGCTGTCAAGCAGTATCTCAAGAACATTGTCTGGGATTTAAGCAGAGAGAGGAAAAGTGCAGTTAGAAAGTTGTGAAAGGGGTTTATGTTGCAAAGCCATGTTTTATAGCTTATGGATGTCCTAGTTGTAGAGCTAGCCTTCTCTGCAGTGTTTAGCCCAAGTAAGTGTATTTTAGTTACTGCGATGAAGATGTCCAAGTCCCTGCACAGTGGAGCAACACTTAGTAGCTGATGTATCATAACTCATGGTGTCACACCAAGCATTGCCAAGCTTGCACAAGTCTTTGGAGTGTTTGAGCTTCAGCTGCTTGCTTCTTATCTCTCCTCCTTCTAGTTAGTCTAACGTTAAGGCACATATGGTTTGAACTTGGTCGTTTTGCGTATACCAGATACTCAGTTGTGTGGCAGAATTTGAGCATAGCCCCAAGTGCAGTGAATGCATGTGTCCTATTGTGGTAGGACCAGAGAGAAGTTGTTGGTTGAAGATGGAAGTAGGATTTTCCCCCCAGCGCTACAAAATTCTCAGTCAGTCATTAGGTCAGTTAAAAATCCCGTGAACAGCAGTGCTTTGCAGAGAGAAAAGGGATACCTTTCTTTGACGATAATGACCTTGTAGAGGAGAAAAAAGTACCTTAGAGGAACTTCCTACTTAAACTAGCTGGCTTTTGCTTCACTCCTACCTCGTTCCACAATTCTTAAGTGCATGCAATTGTTTGCAAGGGGTAGAAGACAGGGACTTAAATAGCAGGGAACTTGAGTGCCTTGGTGATGGGTGTGACATGCTCCTTACAGGAAATAGGCAGCCAGAATATAAACTGTTGATTGTTTAAACTGGTATCTTGAATATCCTTCTCTTTGTTTCAGTTTCCTCTGGAGCAGCATTTGTTGCAGGTCAAACTGTTAATCAGTACAAGGTACATTCAGCTGTTGTGCCAATAAATGACTAGTGAGCAATATAAGATAGAACTATTCATTGTTTTTTCAGAGCAAATTAGGATATTCAATGCTGCTTGATTATGCCTGAAAGAAACAAACTTGTGTGTAGCTCCACCCCTTATCCTTGGTTAAAGAATTTTGTACTGCCCCTTGTTTCCTCTGATGCTTGATGAGAAATGCAGCTCCGGTGGCAGCTTGATAGCTATCTTTTGTGAAGGCCTTTGCTAAATTAAAAAATTCTCATAGCCTGTTATATTTAGATGACTGGGTCTTTGAAATTTGTTTTTCCATGCTTGCATCAGTTTTGTGTGCAAACAGCTGCTGATTTTTTTGATTCCTGTATCTTTCATCTGCTGAGTGCTCCCCGTCCCTAGCTCCCCAAACCTGTACTGAAACTTTATTTTAAAGAGTTTGCTTTGTCTGTGCTTCCAGCTGTTAGCAAGCTCTGCTGTCAAAGTGCTGCATAGGAGCTAATGTGGTAATTGCATCAGAGCTGCTTTGCATTTCCACCTTTCTTATCTTCTTCCTTGCTCCTTCCTCTCTACTCCTTCTGCCCAACCGCCAAAACCAGTCCCACCAAACTTGGAGTTCAGACAACAAAGTCTGTGCATACAGGAGTGGTAACTTGACATTCATAAGAGGCTCAAGTCTGATAGTGATCCATGGTTTGAAGGGCTAATTTAGGGGAGAAACACAGAGAACAGTGGTTCTTGTTTCTGCTAATAAGGTAGGTGGGC